ATAGCATTGCGGTGCTGCAAAACATGATACTTCATACCACTGTATGTAGAGACATTTAGCAGAATGACAATAAAGCTCAACTTAAACTTTAGACTCAACTTTGCACTTTGAAATCGCACATTTAAATCAGAGCTATGAAATGATTAAGTTATGATATTTTTACTGTAGAAGTTATTTGAAAATCTACTTTTAAAAAGTGAGTAGACCTGTTGCCTAAAAGCAACAAATTGACTTTACACAAATAATTGAGTAAACCCATTGTAACTTGGAACTGTTAACTTTTTTGTTTAAAATTTTTTGTTTGTTTTAACAATTTTAAGGCAATGGGTTCATCCTGAAATCCCTGATTTATCAATGGTCGCTACTTCGAAATGAACCTCCTAACTTTTTCAAGTCAAGTTTAAAAGCAAATAATTTACTTTTTTATGTAAAGTCAACTTCTCACTGTTTACAGTGTAATAGTATTTTAATTGCAACATTTTAAGTTATGAGTTCACAATTAAAAGTAATAATTACAGTGGAAGTGATAAAATAAGCAACTATGAGGCACAACTGTAAAATATATATTTCACCTTCTGTATAATTGTGGAATTTAAAGCCAGACAGGAGATTTCGAGATACAAAGTCACACGTATACAACAAAGAAAGTCGAAACAATTTTGAACAAAAAAGGAGTGCCAGACAGAAACATTGACTCCCACAATAATGCTTTAAAAGTAAAAGTTCAAGTGCAACAGACAGGGGTCAAGAAAAAGTGTTTGAAACCATGCCTAATTCTAAAAGGAGAATCTATTCTTGAACTTTGCTCAACAAGACAATTAACTGTGGATCTTGCCAGCTTACTTAAGACAGGAGGCTGACATCATTGCTGCCCTTGCCAACCAGTCAGGTATTTTGAGGGCTCGCTGAATAAAGGCCTGTCCCAGAACGTCTGTGGTATGTGCAGAAGATAAAAGAGCATGTGCCGCGAGATTTGAAGGTCTTTCTGATAGCTTTAGATTAAATGTTTTATGGAATGCATGTGACAAGATTGTGCTTATAGCTGCCTCCAATGTAACATGATGTGAATACATACTGAAATGTAGGTATTAAGAAAATAGTCACCCAAAGGCTATTAAGAATCAAGCCAGCGCCTTCATGTAAACTTTGTATGTCTTTCAAGGCAGTTATCCGTCTATTGGTCTTCTATGGTGAAAGTAAGGGCTCTCTCAAAGTCAAAGACTTCTCACGAAGACCAGGAGAAATTATTTCTCAGTTGCATTTTTTATGAATGCAGCATAGACTACTCAACACATAAAGACTACAACTTAGACATCTATATTAAATAAAGAATAGAGTCACTTGATCATCATCATAAGGGATTCAGTAATTCAAAGTGACTGTTAGCATATAGTTAACATGTCTATTTAACCTCATATGGGTGATTCTGGAATTATTTTTTTTTTAATCTATATTCAACAATTTACCATCTACATTTTGAAGATAAACCTTCTTTTATTTTTCAAAAGTAAAAATGTATTGAAAGTTTGGATTAATAACGCAAATGATATCCAGTTATCCCCAAAAATAATGTTTGTTTTTTGTAATAAAGACATTTTGTATTAACTTAAAAAATATTAAATTACCTTCACTATATATATATATTTGACTGACTTTGCCTCCTAAATCTTATTTTAGCATTAGAAACCATTAAAAACTGAAGTCTTATTAATTAGAATTAAGTAATTTACTCTGCTAAGGTACATTTACATGAAACATCTCTTTTCTGTTTTGTTTGTCATTTCAGTAATTATACAGTTAACTTTGTTACATTGGTTATAAAAGGCAAAACATTTTAAAGCACTTATAGAAAAAACATGTTTATACCAACCAAACCATTCTATACCAACCATTTCTACCAACCAAAGGCATTTAGTCATGTTATTAATTCTTCTCTCATTAATTGGTACAAAATCTTTAAGATACATCAATAGTAATTAATTATTTGTCAACTGTTATTGTTATGTTTCAGTGAATTACTCGTTCACTAAAAAAACAATAATATGATGAAAATATGAACAATTGAAGAGTTCAGATGCAAAAACCTCTTAGTGCCAAAAAAAAATTCCTCTAAAATTTGTTTTCTCAGCCTCCTATGTTAATGTTTAGTTATTTCACTTTAAAGGCAATGAAAATAGGCTTTGCGCTGAATGTAAAATTACTGGAACTACACATAACAGTGTGAGAAAAATGCTAATTTTAGATGAAAATTTCAAATGGCACTTAGAGGTTTTTGCATCTAATCTATTCAATTATAATTTAGACATACAATGTGGTAACTGATTTTGGGTGAGCATCTTCAACTAAAGCACAAAATGGTGGAAAATGCCAGCTCTGTTATTGTTAACTCTTAGTTTTTAAAAAAAAAAAAAAAAAAAGTTAAATGAAACAGTTAAATGAACAGAATCAAAAGTTCCCTATCATATTTAAGCATTTTTTCATTTGTTTTACATTAATGAATTCAGCTTTCTGTAAATTATACATTTTCTGTATCACCAGTTTAGAGTAAATTAAGGGAAAATGCTTGAAATGTACTCGCAATTCTGGAATAATTATGGAAACACACCAGTGCTTTGTGTGAGTGGTTTCTTCAAATATTTTTAAAATTTGGGAATCAAAACATTAGAAAAAATTAAGGAATAGGTTTTATTTTCCCATAAACATTGAGTGACAATATTCATGCAGCACTTCAGTTCCAAAAAAGACAAGAAAACTTTTTTTTTCTTTTTCTGTAAAAATCAGGATTATTTTGTGCAACAATTATTGTGTGTTTTAATTAAATGGGCTTTATAAAAGAATTGTTCCTGTACTAATAACATGTTACTATTTAACAATAGTTTTGTATAGTTTCATAGTAAGTATTCATAGCGCTTCACTTTTTCCAAAATATTTATGTTACAGCCTTATTCCAAAATGGATTAAACTCATTTATTTCCTCAAAATTCTCCACACCATACCCCATAAAGACAATGCGAAAAAAAAGATTTTTTGAAATAGTTTCAGATTTATTAAAAATAAAAAAAACTGAAAAATCACATATACATAAGTATTCACAGCCTTTGCTCAATACTTTGTTGATGCACCTTTGGCAGCAATTAGAGCCTCAAGGCTTTTTGAATATGATTTCATAAGCTTGGCACACCTGTCTTTGGGAATTTTTGCCCATTCCTCTCTGCCCATACCTCTCAAGCTCTGTCAGGTTTGATGAAAAGCGATGGTATACAGCCATTTTTAGATCTCTCCAGAGATGTTCAATATGATTAAGGTCTGGGCTTTGGCTGGGCCACTCAAGGGCATTCACCGAGTTATTGTGAAGCCACTCCATTGATATTTTAAGAGTGTGCTATAGGTCATTGTCCTGCTGGAAGATCGCTCCAGTCTGAGATCAAGAGCACTCTGAAGGAGGTTTTCATTCTGGATGTCTCTGTATATTGCTGCATTCATCTTTCACTCTATCCTGACTAGAGTTGGGTACTGAAACCCAGTGCCATTATAGCACCAGTACCTTTGTAACCGATATGTACAGGATCAAATCAGCAAATGAATTTCGGTGCCTAATTTCAGTGCCACTGGTGCTGCGACAAGGACGTAAGAAGCATCAAAGGGGTGTATCAAAGGCACAGACTATCTCTAAACATTTAATTCCAAACAACTTTATGGAATGCGGACAGGCAATGTCAAGCGATTGCTATTGGGGAATGGACGCAGTACAGCATATTCAGCCTTGTTTTCGGTGAGCGAGAGCGACACTCTTCAGATCAACACGCATGACCACGTTCCTCAATCTTGCTTAAAATATGCATTCTAAAGCGTATTTTACAAGCAAGGGATCTGACACGGCAACGTGCTTTACAAAAGTTGCATTTAAGACATGCATATACGTATGGCTGCATTTTATGTTTAAGCGAACGATACGGGGCGGTGTGACATCGTTCCTTTGCACGCTTACCGGCTGACAGCTTACCTCTATGTGGAGGGCTTTTCTGCCGCAACCAGTTTGTCCAGTTAGCTCATCATGTACGTCGGCGGACTTGAGACGCAGAGAGGAGCTGACCACGACAACGGGTTTAAGTCTGGGAAAGAGCGGTTCCAGAAATCGGGTAAGACAAAAACAGAATCCAAAAAATAAAGTGAACAAGTTCATGACAGTGTGAGAAAGAGGTAAAATGCAAAAATGTGATAAAAATCAGATGAGGGCTTTTCTTTTTCTGGTCGGCTTTTGTAAATTGTTGGTTGGGTTTAGGGAAGTAAGTGGGTGGGCGGTTCAATCTGTAAAATTGGTTGGGTTTAGGGAAGGAGAAGGGTGGTTCAGTCGATTGGCCGGTCGCCCAGTCAATCATTCAGTCAGTCAGACAGACGGTCGTTTTGCTCGTGAATTCGCGAAAACAAAAACTGCAAAAATACGTACCTCCTGGGATGTATTTTGCGGCCCTAAAAAACGTCCAGGGGACTACGTTTTCAGAATATTCTGCATATTCGCCAGAGTTGGAATGATCAGTGGGAACAGAATGCACCTGGGCTCAATTTAGAGCTTCATGGCAAAGGCTGTGAATACTTAGGTGCATGCGATTGTTCAGGTTTTTTATTTTTAATAAATTTACAACAGTTTAAAAAAAATCATTTTTTTCACATTGTCATTATGGGGTATTGTGTGTAGAACTTTGTGGAAATAAATTAATTTAATCCATTTTGGAATAAGGCTGTAACATAAAAAAATTATAATAAATGTATAATATACAAACATATATTATGTCAAAACAAACTTTTATTTTAAATGTGATTAATCAAGATTAATCTTTGTCCAACACAAAAAAATAAATAAATAAATAAATAACAACAAAGAAATTGAAGGTTTAGAGATTCTTTTAAATTTAAATTATTTGTTCCAAAGAGGAAAATCCCACAAGTTTATAATAGCATAAATATAATTAAATAGTGATTTTTTTTGTGCTGTTCCTTACCCTCCATCCTCCTGAAAGCCTTCAAGTTCATCTTTCTGCTCAGCCAAGGTGGACTCCAGGTCCAGATAACTGCCATTATGAGACAACTGCAAAGCACAGTCATCAAGCTGAGAGAGAAAAACACAATGAGAACAACTAATTAAAAGCAAAGTTTATACACAGCAACAATCAAAGTACCTTCTTAAATGTAATGTCATGCAATAAGTGCAATGATAAATACCTATTCAAGTAAACCACTGGAAATGCCAACACATTTGATATGCATGACATCAGGTTAATATCACCCTGAGCTTTGACATGTCAGCTATGTGCTTAACAGGAATGCATCATCATTTTTATAATTATTATTATTATTCATAACATCACACAGCTTTATAAACAGTGACATACCACGCTCAGGCGGTCCTTTCATGCTCCAGTTCATATTTCACCTCAATATCAACTCATTTACACAGATATTGTATAACTAATTAAAGTGTGAATGTGCATGAAGTAAATTGTCTGTCACAAACCTTCAGTATCACTGAGGAATCTAAAGACTTGCCATAACTTTGACACCTTCAAAGCACTCTATTTAAAACATGAAGGCTATCTGATTAAAAAAAAAAAAGGCTTCTCTGTTGCGAGACGCCCATCAACAGAGTATAGAGACATCATTGCCTCAGACACATTGAAAAGTAGGTGCTACTAATGAGCAAATGTGCTTAAAGTAAGTATGCTGTCACGTTTCCTCAGTATTGCAACTAAAGCATCAAAATATCATGTCATAACTTTGACAGCTTTAAAATGCTCTATTTAATGCATTCAGGGTGTCTGATTTATAGAAGTGTTGTGAGAAGTCCATCCATGCCATTCAGTGATATACAGTACAGCAGCAGTGTTGGACAGTAACTACTGCAAATATTTTACTTCCCTACTGTACTTAAGTACATTTTCAAGTACAGTATGTATATTTAATCAAAGTATTTTTATGTGACATGTATTTATTCACCACATTCTAAAACAAAACTAAACATTGAAATTTAGCAGAGTAAAAAAAAAACATTTTGTGCATCTAACTTGTGACAAAGCTTGAATCTTGTAAGTTGACCTTTTAAAGTGGTTCACAAAATAATTTGTTAATTAGACAGAACTGATGTTATATTAAATATTTATATTATTTATAACATTTCACATTAGTTGTAATTTATTAACGTCAACCCTTACCCCAACCCTAAACCCAACCGTCACTGTAACATAAAAACAGTAGTTGTACCAAGTATTATTTATCTAATTTATAAAATTACCCAATAAATTGTATTTTTTCAACATTTACTCCTACCTTAACCCTAAACCTAACCATCACAGTACTGTAAAATATTAATTATTGTTTTACAATAAAAATGATGCTACATTGATATGCACATTCGCAGCTGTATGTCCTAATTAGACTTTACTGTAATTCAAATATATGCTGCTCACACAAACAAGGATTCTTCCAGAAAGTACCATTTATACATCCATTCCAAAATACCAGTAAATTAAAATCAGGTTGACGTCAGAACCCAACATCAGGTGACATCAATGTCCAATGTCCAGCTTAAAGTCAACTTAAAATCAACCAAATATCAGTGCCTAATCATGTTACACCTAGACGTTGTGTGAACGTTACCACTATGCCATCAGACATTGGATTTTGGTCACTTTCCAACACAACCTAAAATCAACCAAATATCAACGTAATTTGAATTTGAGAATGTTGTCCTTAGACGCTGGCTAGACATTGACTTTTGGTCACCTGACGTCATGACCTAATATTAACAACTTTTGATGTTGTGTGCTTGCTGGGTTGTATTAAACATGAAGGAAGTCACTCCTTATTTTGATGGTGTCATTTTTATTTAAAACTTAAGCATTCATGTAGCTGCTTTTGTCCCAGAGATGGACCAAATAACTAGGAAAAAAATCAGCTAACGTTACCATCCGACAGAAGTGCTAACTGCAGCTAAAAACACTGTTGTTTACACATTTGACAACATTACAAATTCTACAGATATTGTGAAAAACATCAATGAAAAGATATCTTGAATATCGAGATGTACATTTAAGTTTGTGCTGCAGCTTGTGAGATATTTCTTAAAACAAAAGACTGTCAGTGTTGTAGGCTGCTCAAATCTGACTCATAGGAGGGCTCCTTCACATGTACATGCGTCACGCAGCTGAACTCACATCGGTTTATTATAAGCATTTTATTGATCATATCTATAGTTTGTTAATATTTTTTGTAATGTACTTGTGTACATGCAAAAGTTTTATATGATTTTGATTTTCTTCCACACTTGAATTATCGGTTTATGAAAATTTCTTGAAAAAAGGTAACTTTTTCCTGAAAAAACATTTATCTATAACTACTTTTAAAACTTTTTTTTAAATGTGAGTACTAACAAAAAGCCATTACATTTGTGGTTTGACTAGGACTAAACATTATATTGTTTAAGCATCAATATCGCATTGTGTTTATCTGCAATAGTGACATCACATGATTAGATTATTTAGTTAAGATTAAAAGAAAAATATATATAATTGAATATATTTTTAATTATCACTATTAATACAGGTGACACGATGGCGCAGTGGATAACACAATCGTCTCACACCAAAAAGGTCACTGGTTTAAGCCTCAGCTGGGTCAGTTTGCATTTCTGTGTGGAGTTTGCATATTCACAGTTTACTGATTCAAAAGATTTGATCATTGTGAGCCTCCAGTTAATGACTCACAGATTCAAAAGATTTGGTCAGGGTGGGTCTTCGGTTATTGACCTACAGATTCAACTGATCTGGTGTGACATCAAAGTATGATGTGAACAATTCAAAAGCACACAGATCTGTTGGTTCTCTAATTGCTCTCTAATTGTATGCTTCGATGCACATATCAGTCTGTGCAGAGCCACTTCAAACAAACATAAAGACTCATTGATTCAAATGATGCGGTCAGAGTGAGTTTCCAGTTAATAGTTCACTGATTCAAACAATCCTTCAGAGTGAGTATTCAGGTAATGATTCACTGATTTAAAAGATCTGGTTAGAGTGAGTCGCCAGTGAATGACCCACAGATTTAAATAATTTTATGACTATTTTGGGGGGAAAAAAAACAATTAATAAAATAAAAAATATATTTTATACTTTTTATATGTGAGTATACAAAATATCAGCTTCATTTGTATTTCTATTAAGACTGAACAATAAATCACTTGAGCATTGATAAAGCAATGTGTGTATCTGCAATAGTCACATGGCAGGATTAGATTATTTAACTACGATTAAAAGATAAAAATATTATCTGCACAGAAAAAAAAACTTGATCATCCCAGTCAATTAAAATTCATGAAATCTTTCCAAATCTAACTATTCAAATGGTTCAGATTTAGGTGAAATTATATTCATATTGCAATATATATCGTAGTAAAACTAAATATGGCAATGTCAGATTTTTTTAATACTGTGCAGTTCTAACTTTGACTATTTATAGACTTCATGCTGTTGAGGTCAGAATTATTAGCCCCCCTGAATCCCCCCCAAATTTCTGTTTAACGGAGAGAAGATTTTTTCAACACATTTCTAAACATAATAGTTTTAACAACTCATTTCTAATAACTGATTTATTTAATCGTTGCCATGAAGACAGTAAATAATATTTGACTAGATATTTTTCAAGACACGTCTATGCAGCTTTAAGTGACATTTAAAGGCTTATCTAGGTTAATTAGGTTAACTAGGTAGGTTAGGGTAATTAGGCAAGTTATTGTATAATGATGGTTTGCTCTGTAGGCTATTGTTCTGTTAAGCTAAAATAGCTTAAAAGAACTAATCATTTTGACCTTAAAATGATGTTTAATAAATTAAAAACTGCTTTTATTCTAGTCGAAATAAAACAAAAAAGACTTTCTCTAGAAGAAAAAAATATTATCAAACATACTGTGAAAATTTTCACTCTGTTAAACATCATTTTAAATATTTTAAAAAGAAAAAGAAAATCAAAGGGGGGCTTATAATTCTGACTTCAACTGTATATGATTGATATTGTTTTATTAGGGTATCCATTCTTTATTTTAAATATGTGATTTGTGTACTTCATTAAGCAGGCATTTGCTCTAGTAGAAGCCTTGCTGTTTGTTCACACTCAATTACAGCCTGGTGATGGGATCTGAAACCTCTCAGGGGGCTGTTGGTGGGCAGCAGCGTGAACTGTCAATCAACGTGTGAGGTCACTCGAAATGCTAAACATGCTAATTACACACACTGTTCCCAGTCGACTGCCCCCTCCAGTCCCAGATCAGACCTTTAAGCCCTTTTCTGGCTTACCAGGGCACATCCAGCTCCAGGGACAGGTAAGAATATCCTTCAAGCATTGGTACCAAGTGTTGTTTATTTTCACCAGCATGTCTAGAATACCAAAGCGTTCCTTGCTGAAAGTCTCTGTCCACACGTGTAAGATCTGTGAAATCCTAGTAGTTTTGATTTGCATCGCTATGAAAACACATGCTTGAGGGTAAGTGAGTTGATGTAGCTAATGGTATCATGAAGCACATCAGCAGAATAAGTGCAAACGTTGAAGTGTCCATTGTCAAGACTTAGAAGTGAGGTAATTGAAACATAATTTTGGGTCAACCCCAATGTAAAACTTAAAAAATATAAAATATAAGTTCTTAATAATGTGCTAATAGCCTCGTGGACAGTGCACCAACATATAGCACCATTGCGATTTGGTTTAAATGTATTTTTGTAGTAAATATCTGGACAAATGTAAATAAAAAAACATTCTTTACAATTACTGTAGTCCTATGTGACTGTCACATCACTTCATATATGCTACATAAACTAAACAAACCCTATCCAAACCTGACTCAAGAATTAACTACAATCTATGTGCGTGATCAATCCAGCCTATGGTTTTGGACTGTGTTTTCCTTAAAGCCAGCGTCTGAATCGCTTCCTCTATCTTGGACAGCATTGGGATAAAGACGACAGACTTTCAAGCAGATTGCAAGTGGCCTGCTAACAGGATTACAGGTCTTCTCAACCTCCAAACGCCTCGGACTGTCTGTCTTTGGTGAATTACACACTAGTC